TCATCTTTAAAACATGCATCACATACAAATTTTGATTTGTTATAATAAAGTAAATACAAATACAAATAAATAGTATTTACCGAGTAGTTCTTGAACTCCTTCAATTTAACCGAAGTGGATTGTGGGAATCGGTTCCCGGTTTGTAACGTCAACGGATTGAGGTTACTCGCTTGAGGAATCCAAGTGTCTTCCCTCTAATCGTATCCACTCTATGAAGCCCGGTTCCGACTACCTTCCTTCGCTAGTAGGAATGTCTCGGTTTTCTCGTATAGGAATATATATATATATATAGATATAATTTGGGAATTTCCAAGAACACTTTCTTGAAATATATGAAGAACACTTTCTTCTCTCTTTGAATTTCTCACAAAATCACTTAGCATAATTTGCAAACATTTTGCATCTATTTATACTAAACATTTTAGCATAAAATAATCAATATTTAGTAATATTAAATAAAATCTGATTTTATTTAAAAATCATATTACTAACTATTGACTTTATATATAATAAACAATGTTAAGTAGTTCAAACAACCATCTAACCACCATTTATTATATTCATTTTATTATTTTAATCCATAAATCATATTTAAAGATAAAAATAATAATATAATAATAAATCTTGAGAATCTATTCCAAGACTTTATTATTATATTTATTTCCCAATTTTCATCCATATTATAATAATCATATTATTATTATTTTGGATTTGAAATTTAAAATCTATTTTAAAATTCAACTTTATTAATTTAGTAATTACTTTAATTACTAAAGTAATATCCAAAATGTAATTAATCAATCTTATTGATTAATATATTCCTTTAATTGACATCTAATCAAATTAGATATTTATCAATTAATTCTAACCATTAGAAATACAATATTTACCTTTGTTCATAATTAGTGTGACCTTTTAGGTTCACTATTAATACTAGTAGTGGGTTTACAACACTTTGTAATTTGAGTTAAATCTTATTAACTCTTATTCAAGAATTAACCCCTTAATTCATGAACCCACATATCATGGTAACACCTAGCAAGTATCATGAATCTAGTATTAAGTGAATAGCGAGTAAACCTATTCCGATTACAACTCCATACATGTAAAATCCTTTCGACATCTAATTTCCCGATTAAGTCTTGGGTATGATTTTGTCGAAACCCAAATTGACTTAATAACTATGATTCTATTTCATGTTTAATAACCCGGTTATGAATCACTATTCATCTCTGCCTTGGCCAAGGACTTTGGATTAATAACTATGAAACACGTAGGAAATTCACTTATCTTCATAAGTGTCGAATCCTTTATTGGCCACTAACAAACTTCCATACATATTAACATAATACCCAACTTATCCCTTTAAACGATAGTGCTAGCTACCAAAAGGATAAATCAAAGTAGAATGTAATATGCACAAAGTTACCATTGTGCCTCAAGTCTTAGGATTAGTCATGTACTATTGTAACATGAAAATTCTTATTCGACTGAATAAATTCTTCATTAAGAATTTTCATACGGTCATGTTCAGTGAACTTGTTATCTAACAAGAACCCACATAAATGTATTTGCGTCACACGCTAATGTTGATGGAATGCAACATTCTTGTCCAACAAGCGTACAAACTATGTGCAAGTCTTTTATGGATTATTCGATATCCCTTCTCGAATCATCCATCGACTTGGAACTGTATTTAAGATCACGGCTTTCAAGGTATGTTCCATGATCACCATCTCTATGCGCAACCATACCTTATAACCATAAGTGATCTAGGGATTTTATCTTAAGTGCAATTATAAGATAAATGCTTTCTCTTAAGATAAAGAAATGCCTTATTCATAATATAATTCCAATAGACTGTATTTAAAAGTAGAATACATCCAATTAGATTGGAACGCCGGGTACCCTACTCTAACACACCAGAGCAAAACTTTTTCCACCAAGGCTTAAAACCATCAAATTCTTGTTGCAGCTCTTCCCATGAGATTAGAGCAAGCTCCCAGGTCCTCTTTGCTTTAGGGTGGTGGAAAAAGATTTGATCCTTAGTCTCAAGTGCTTCTCCACAAATTTACAAAGGTGATCTATCTTCACCTGTTTTATCAAGAGGTTGCAGTTAACAAGTAAAATGTTAAAGAAACAGTTCCAAAGGTAGTGCCTGATCTTCCCTCTGACTTTGAGTCCCCACGTTTTTTTCCTTGTTTTTTTTGCAGAGTCACATATTCCTACTCCCTTTCTGGTAAGTCCAAGTTCCTCCATTTTTCTTCTACCAGACGGTCATAGGTTGAGGCCACTGAAAATCCTCCTTTATTATCATGATCCCATACCAACAGGCCAGGCTGTCAGGTTCAAGATCTTTAATTTTTAGTATGGATGCACTTTTTAGTGGAATGAAATAGCTTCTAACCAGTTCAGAGTTCCAATTCCTTCATGTCGATTCTAAGAGTTCAGAGACCCAAGTGATCTCATTCTAAGAGTTCAGGATTTTCAGCGGGTGTGATTCCTGTTTTGCTAAGGGTTACCCACCATAAGGAAGACAAAGATTGAGCAATTTTGGTGTTGATAGCTTTTGGCAATAGGAAGCAGGACATGACATATAAAGGAAGAGCACTCAGGATTGCCTTCAGAAGCACTTCTTTTCCTACAAGAGTAAGGAATCTATTTTTTCAATTTGAAATCTTTTTTTTTTTTTTTTTTNTTTGTTGTCTTCTCAATATAGGAGAAGGTTTCCTAAGCATGATCCTACCAAAATTAATTATTCATGCGTAAGGAGCAAAATAATAATTAAGGAACATGCAAAAGTAGAGACATAATAAACTATGAAAAATATTCAATTATTATTGCAACACCCCGCTACTTAGGGCCAATTTTTCACAATTTTACTTTTGAAAACTCTTATAAATTTTTTGAAACCTTTGCAAACGAACTCGGGATGCTGCTACAAACTTATCTACTTTGAAAATTCGTTTCCCTTATAACTCGGTCTAACGACTGGTTTAGACTTAGAGAAAAACAGATTTAAATCTTTTATCGAAACATGCATGTAAAACTGGACCCGTTCATACTGGCGAATCGGGAAAAACTTTAAAGTCTGAAAATACTGTCATGCAAGTTCGAAACTGAAAATAAACGTAGCGGAAGTCTTAAAATGCGTCGCATAATAGTTATACAACATAAGTAAACAAATGGCCACAGAGCGACTAGTTGTGCCAAATCCGCGACCACAACCACCACAGCTAATCTCACATCTACCCGCCGACCCTGTCATCTGAAAAACATAATGGGGGTGAGTACTGGTCCTCTTTTACTACATAAAAACCCATACTAAAGTAAACAGCAATAAGAATAACGATATCATGATCACAGGTATATATAAGTAAATTGAAATCTCCCGGACACTCTGGCCGGTAACTGAAACTGTATCTCCCGAACACTCTGGCCGATACCGTGTGCACACTCTAGTGGTATGTTAAGGCGAACTAGGCCACCACCAAAACCGATGAGAGGGAAAAGTCGGCCTCAACCCTAAGTGGATAACTCATATACATACCTTGGACATGATATCAGCTATTATAGTCAATGTAATACCCAATGTCCCCATCTTTTCTGCTTTGAAAATGTATGTGTTGTGCTGATATGGGTAGCTGACTCGTCAAGCTACATAAAAATATAAGCAAATAAATATACTAAGTACTATGCTGGTATTATGCTCAAAAAGATGTTAGGATGCTCGACACTATCAGATAACTTATCCGGATAATTAGGAACGCTCTAAAGGTTCACTAAAATCATGCTAAGTCCGAAACTCAAACTGAATACTAAACTGAACTGGTTTGGCTCGAAAAATACTTAGATTTCGGATTAAAACTCGGACCGAAACTCACGAACCAAAACTGCCTCGAACTGCCGACTCGCTGTGGGCCAGGCGGTCGGGTGCTAGCTCGGACCAATCGGGCTCGGTCCCGCGCCGGGCCAGCTGGTGCCCAGGCACAGCGCTAGGCAAGGTTGGGTGCGATCGGGACACGGTACTAGGCACTGCTGGGCGCGGGCAGGTGCGGCTGACACGAGCCCTGGCAAGACTGGTGCCACTAGGTGCTGCTGGGCACTACCGAGGCCCACTGGGTGTGTTGGCGCGCTGCTGGGCACGACCGAACATGAGGGACGCGGGACTAACGCGTACCCGGATTGGCTGGGCGCGGCTGGTTCCACTCGGACATTGCAGGCCGACCCTGGGGTCACTGAACACTCAGGCATGCTTCTAGGCACTGACCGAGGCCAACTAAGGCTCTGGCGTGCTTCTGGGCACGGCTGGACGTGAGACTAGCGCGACCAGACGCTACTCGCGCGGACTCTAGAGCGGCCGGTGTCACTCAGGCGCTGTCGGGCGACCCTGAGGACACTGGGTACTCGGGTGTGCTTCTGGGCACTAATCGAGACCGACTGAACATAGGGAACACGACTCGGGTTCACTCTGGGCACGACACGAGCTGCTGGGCTTGAGACACGCGCACTGGACTTAGCACAGCACTACCGGGCGTTGTGCATGCTAGTTGGGCACGACTGGTGCCGGCACTGAGCACGCGGGCACTGAACGAGCGCTGTCGCGTGCACTGGGACCGTGTGCGTCGTGCCTACTGGGCGCGGGCATAGACTGGGGTCAACTTAACCTTTGTAGACCCTGGCCCGGGCACTGCGCGCGCTACATGCGCGGCCAGTGACCGTGGCTACTTTTCCGATGACAACCGATCTAATCCAACATAATATGATATAAAACACGTAAAAATGCCAAGAAACACTGGGGCACCTCAGTTGGATTCTAACATGGTCCGGTAGGGCCGATAAGGCACGCATGGACACTAGGTCACCAAATACACTAACTCATCTTACCAAAACACTTAAGGCCGAATACTTAGCATTATAAATCAATACTTTAAGGGCTAAGACATTGTCTATATCTCGCATGCATCTCAACTTGACTCGGAGGTGAAAATACGCTCAAATTCACAAGCTACTTGACCGAGTAAACGAACTCAAAACATGCCTATCTTTGCCAATGTCATATTCATGATTCATAAGAAATTATGCGCTACAAAGATCGGCCTACTCATGCATGTACATAAAAATTCGAATTTAAGGTCCTAATCTTCGAAAATTCGAAACTCCATTTTAAGCATGTGCATGGCTTCATTTTTTTCATGATAAATCTTAAATCATCATGCTAAGGCTAGGAAAAATGATAATCGTGAGCTTACCTCCTTCAAACTCGTGAATGTGCACGAAGGCTTCTACTCGGGCTCACTCGCGGCTACTCGGTCCTTCCTTCACCAGAGCTTGCTCGTGCGCGTAGGGCTTGGGCGCCTTCCCTCTCGGCCTTGCTCTATTTTTCTCTCAAAATTCTAAGTATGCTCGAGTTTCTTAAGTGTCCAAAGGATAGAAAACATCTGAGGAGTGATGCTAATATAGCTGGACATGGACGGATTCACCAAGGCTCCAAGTGGGGGACATTTCTCATTTTCCATGCGCCTAGGAGTTGGGGAGGATCTTGGACATGCTTGGCCTGACTTTGTACGTTTTTAGGACCATCTTGAAGAGCATAATATGGTGGAGGAGTGGTCTGGTCAGGTCTGGTACCACCAGAGGGGACAAGCCTTACACATTCCATTATTTTAATCACATGCCCATGCTCCACTCACATTATAATAATGTTAATGATACTTTGACTTTCCCTTAATCTTCCTTAGGGACATCTTAGGCTTAATTAATCCCCAGAATCCCCTTAATACACGCATGTAACTTGGCTAAGACTTGGGCTCGGAATTTATCACATTGGGCTAGAGAAGTGGGCTTGCGCGTGGGCTGGGCGCCGCCTGGAGCGTGGCACTGCTAGACGCGCGGCCTTTGTCTCGGCTTGGGCTAGAAATGCCACATGCTTGGGCCGAGTGTTTAACACTTCAAGGGTTGAACTTAAGTGTTCAAAATACTTAGAAAAATCATCATTAAGCTTGGTCAAGATTCAGCACTTGGCTCCGCAACTGGGGGGGCTCGCGGACTTGGGCGCGACCCTTGCTTGGGCTCGGAATAATGGCTAACTTATAAGCCTCAACACTTAGGAGAAATTCCCAAAAACTTAGCTATCTCTCAAGCATACCTCGGACACGGCCTTGGGACTCGCTCACGAAACTTGTGCGAGTGGCTTGGACCAGGACACGAGCTAGGTGCGGGATTCTTAGGCCGAGGAAATGCTAATTCTAGGGCTCGATAAAGAATGACTTATACTTAGAAAAATTCTAAGGACACAAGAAACTATGGCTTGATCAAGACTCGACACTACTAGGGTTCGAGACTTGGCTAGGCACGAACTAGGCGCGAGACTCGTGACCGAACATACTCGGTTCTGGACACGGCTTGACTTGGACAGTTTATTGAAACATACTCGATTTTGATTATTCGTCTACTTGGAATAATTAATTCCGATTACTGATGTCCATTTCTAAATTAAATGGACCGGAATTATATACTAGAATTGACTTGGTTACTGACTGAATTTAACCGAGAATACTCATGACTTAAAGTCGAGCTTAGAATTGAATAGCTGAATAACTGGGCTCGGAACTCAAGACGAGCAATATTAATATAAAAAAATAGTTCAAACTCGGAACTAAAACTATCACTTTTATTAATTACTGAACTGGGCTATTACAATCTATCTCTCTTAAAATTATTTTCGTCCTCGGAAATACTAAAAATGGAAAAATTCATACAAACTACGTACATATCAGAACTCAAAATCTGGAAAACAAGCTCTAATGTCAGCTTCGCGCTCCGAAGTGGTGTCTAACTCTCCGTGGCGATTCCATCTGGTACGAACGAGGGAATATCTCGCTTCCTGAGCCGATGAACCTTTTGGTCCAAAAATGCTACCGGCTGCTCCTCGTAAGTCAAATCTGGCTGAATCTGATGCTCATTGTGCTGAAGCACATGCTCTGGATCGCACACGAACTTGCGCAACATCGATACGTGAAACACGTTATGCACACTGGCCAACTCGGGAGGCAAGGCTAGTCTATAGGCAACTTTGCCCACTCGCTCGAGAACCTCGAACGGGCCTATATATCGAGGATGCAGCTTTCCTCTCTTCCTGAAACGAACGACACCTCTCATCGGTCAAACTTTTAGGAATGCTTTCTCTCCGGGTTCAAACTTCATCTCTCGTCTATGCTTGTCGTCTGAGGACTTTTGCCGACTCTGGGCTGTCTTGATCCTTTCTCTGATCAAGGCTACTTGCTCAACTGGGAGTGCCTCACCATGGACTTTGTGGTGGGATTGCCGAGATCAAGATCCAGAAACGACTCTATCTGGGTGATTGTGGATCGACTCACCAAGTTTGCCCACTGTTTGCCCGTCAGGACGACTATGAAGGCCAGTGAGTACGCCGAGTTGTTCGCAGATGAGATTATTCGACTCCATGGGGTGCCCATGGAGATTGTGTCCAACCGAGACCCGAAGTTCACGGGTCAATTCTGGAAGAGTTTGCACCAAGCCATGGGAATGAGGTTGGCGTTTAGCACAGCCTTTCACCCCCAGATAGATGGTCAGTCGGAGCGGACGATTATTTAGAGGATATTCTGAGGGCTGTGGTCTTGGATCGGAGCCTAACTTGGGAGAGTTCGCTGCCATTGGTCGAGCTGGCCTATAATAATAGTTATCATGCCTCGATCAAGATGGCACTGTACGAGGCTTTGTACGGGCGAAAGGTTTGGACTCCTATATTGGGATGAAGTCGGAGAGAAGAAGATTATGTGTCCGGAGTTCATTCGTAGAACTTCGGAGCAGGTGGATGAGATCTGGAAGAATATCCGGTCTGCCCAAGAGAGGCAGAAGGTTTATGCCGACCGGAAGAGGCAGGAGCATGAGTATGTTGTTTGCGATCACGTCTTTCTAAAGGTCTCGCCCATGAAGGGTGTGATTCGCTTCGGGAAGAAGGGAAAGCTTCAGCCTCGCTATATCGGACCCTTGAGATCCTTGCTCGAGTCGGAGACTTGGCTTATCGGCTAGCTTTGCCACAGGACTTTTCGGGAGTGCATGATGTGTTTCATGTCTCGATGCTGCGTACATATGTACATGATCCCGACCACGTGGTGGACTTCGGTGAATTGCGGGTCGAGTGAGACCTCACCTATGAGGAGGTGTCGGTTGTCGTACTGGGGAAGATTGTAACGCCCCGTTTTATTTTAAAGAACTTACCGAATTTATTTAGTAAAAATCAGAGTTATTATTTTTTTTTTAAATCCAAATTAAAACATTTATCAAGAAACGGGCGCTACTTACTAACCACAACAAATGAACACATCCAATCAATCGATCCAACCTACACATGCTCGGACTAACGATATTAAATAATCCCTTAAATTCATAAGTCTCAAAACATTCAAATAGATCTAGCATGAAACAAGGTTCAACCAAAACTTAAACATAATTCAAAAACGGAAGCAAGAATTAATCCAAAGTATGAAAGCAAATGATTAAGTAACAAGTTCATGCATAACACATAGTCAATATACAAAAATCAAGTAGGGATATAAACACATATTAAATATCCAA